CCACCATGGATGACTTCAAAAGACGATTCGCCGAGGTCCAGCCCGACGGATCATACAAGTTCAGCAACGTTCGCAACGGTCTTATCGTCGGTCTTGTACGTTGTCATCATCTATAAATACCGCATCATTCTTCGCTAACCACTCGAACAGCTGTCGATTGGTACCATGATTGGCGCTCTTGTCGCTGCTCCCATTGCTGACCGCATGGGACGCAAGTTCTCCATCTCCTTCTGGTCTCTGATCCACATTGTCGGTATCATCATTCAGATGGCCACCGATAGCAAGTGGTACCAGGTCGCCCTCGGCCGTTGGGTTGCCGGTCTGGGTGTCGGTGCGCTGTCCAGCATCGTTCCCATGTATCAGAGTGAATCCGCTCCCCGTCAGGTCCGTGGTGCCATGGTCAGTGCCTTTCAGCTGTTCGTGGCCTTCGGTATCTTCATCTCGTACTTGATCAACTACGGTACTGAGACCATTGAGTCGACCGCCTCCTGGCGTATCACCATGGGCATTGGCTTTGCCTGGCCCCTGATCCTCGGTGTGGGAACCCTCTTCCTGCCCGAGTCGCCCCGCTTTGCCTACCGCCATGGCCGCATTGATGAGGCTCGCAAGACCATGTCCAAGCTCTATGGCGTTGGCCCCAACCACCGTGTGGTTGTGCAGGAGATGAAGGAGATGAAGGACAAGCTGGACGAGGAGAAAGCTGCCGGCGTCGCTGCCTGGCACGAGATCTTCACCGGTCCCCGCATGTTTTACCGTACCATTCTGGGCATTGCCTTGCAGTCCCTGCAGCAGCTCACCGGCGCCAACTTCATCTTCTACTATGGTAACAGTATCTTCACCTCGACCGGTCTGAACAACAGCTACGTCACCCAGATCATCCTGGGCGCTGTCAACTTCGGTATGACCTTGCCCGGTCTCTACGTTGTTGAGCACTTTGGCCGCCGGAACAGTCTGATGGTCGGTGCTGGCTGGATGTTCATCTGTTTCATGATCTGGGCCTCCGTCGGCCACTTTGCTCTCGACCTGGCGGACCCCTCCAACACCCCCCAGGCCGGTGCTGCTATGATCGTCTTCACCTGCTTCTTCATCGTCGGCTTCGCCACCACCTGGGGTCCTATCGTCTGGGCCATCTGTGGTGAGCTGTACCCCGCCCGCTACCGCGCCATCTGCATAGGTATCGCAACCGCCTCCAACTGGACCTGGAACTTCCTCATCTCCTTCTTCACCCCCTTCATCTCCAGCTCCATCGACTTCGCTTATGGTTATGTCTTCGCCGCCTGCTGCTTCGCTGCCGTCCTGGTCGTCTTCTTCTTTGTCAACGAGACCCAGGGCCGCACCCTCGAGGAGGTCGACACCATGTACGTCCTGCACGTCAAGCCCTGGCAGAGCAGCAGCTGGGTGCCCCCCGAGGGTATCATCCGGGATCTGCACCCCGCTCCAGAGGAGAACCAGAAGCAGGAGGGTCAGGGCCAGGTCGAGCACACCGAGCCCACCGAGATCCGGGAGTAATCATTCCGTCTTCAACTCATGTACAGTATTTCTGGGGACGGCTCTGCAGATTTTTTCTTCATGTTGCATATGAATGAATCACTCTAGTTCGCTTGATGTGCATACTCATTGCAAAAGATACGGCGTTTAAACGGTTACTGGGAGCATTTAGACCATCAATCAATCAATCAACACAAATCAATTCTCATATTATCCTGACTTGTGTACAAACCCACTATAAACATTGTAACTGTCCGCCCTCTATTATTATTTGGGCATAGGCTGTAGTCACCAATTGGTAGACCTCTGCACTTTCCTTCTTGACTTAGCAATTCCTCTGGCCCTAAGTATCGTAGTCCGCGGAACTGTATACAACTCGACTACGCAATTCACTTCATCTGATAGGCGGCAGAAACACATACAACAGTCTACCGTTGAATTTTCAATCGTACTTAATGCCATACCATGAAATTGATTCTTGACTCTAGGGATATAGACCAGGTATTCAAGCGGTGTCATTCAAATCAGGCGGAAAGAAATGGAATAGAATGGAAGAATGAAAACACAGGTAAAGGACCCCAACGCCGATTTTTGACACCCGTTTCCGTTTTGAAACAATATACGACTAAGATTAGGAATGGACTTCGTCTCATCGTCGACTTCGATCCTGACCACGAATGCAATGCGGATGCCTTTACCGGCGCTGGGTCTTGCCGATCGTGCGCTTTCCGGTGTACTATTAATTGATAAAGTTAGTGGATGCGAGGGGAATTACAGAGTGAGAGAATGGGAAAGGGGTAACGTACCAGATGCTTGGGCAAGGAGGCGGTCGTGTGTCGGTCTGCTTCTCCGGCTCTGGCCATCCGGTTCATCTTCTTCTGGCCCAGCTTGAGAAGGCGCTCGGCCTTGCTGCGGGACGTCGTGTCCGTCACACCGTCCACCAGACGGTTGGTGGCCGCCTGGCTGCGGGCGCGGCTCTTGGCGCGGGCAATCGCCTGGCGAGGATCCGAGCCGTCGATCTCCATGGCGTCGCCGGTGTCGATCTCGCTGCGGGTGGTGGTGCGGCCGCGTGCCTGGCTCTGGGAGCGGGCGCGGGCAGCAGCCGCATCGACGTCGTAGCCGGCCGCGTCCAGAGCCTGCTCCATCTGCGACAGCTTCTTGGCCTTGGCGCTGCGGGGGATGGCCGCCCTGTTCTTGAGCGACTTGCGCAGCTTGGCGTCGTTGCGCATCAGCGCGCGCTTCTCGCGGATCAGGTCCGCCTTCATGCGGTTGTCGGCGTCCTCGACATCCTCGACGCTCTCATCCGAGTCGTAGAAGCCCTCCGCCTCCAGCTTCTCCTCCTCCTCCTCCAGCGCGGCCAGCTTCTGCTCGATGTCCGGGTCCACAAAGTCGTAGACGTTCTTGCCATTCCAGACCTCGGGGATCTTGTCGTGCTTCCACTCGTCGTCGGCCAGCGTGTAGTTCTTCTTGAGGTCGACGTTGTACACACCGGCACCGCCGTTCTCCTCCTCGATGTCCCGCTCGAGCTTCTTCCGGTTCGGATCGTCCTTGTCGTATTTCTTCAAGTTCTTGACCGCCTCGGGAATGAATGCCTCACGAACGCCACCAACAGGCTGTGCCACATGGATACGCGCCAGCACGTCGCCGAGACGACCTCCGGGGGTGCCGGAGCTGTTGGTACCGGACTTGAGCTTCTGAGCCACCCGCTCGGCGAGCAGCTTGTCGCAAGCAGCGTTCTTCACAGCCGTGACACCCTCGGTGGTTGCGCACGACAGCTGCAGCATCTCCACATCACCGGACTTGAGGATCTTCTCGATCTCCTCCTGGTATTCCGGTTCGAGATCCTCGGGGCGACGGACATCAATCTTGTTGACCACCAGGAAGACGATCTTGTTGGCAAACAGTGGTCTGATGCTGTGGAAGAGCTTGATCTGATCGGCGACCGAGTAGCCACATTGCTCGGAAAGATCCATGAAGTACATGATGGCAGAGCGAAGATGGGCAATAGCGGTAATGGACTGCATTTCAATCGTGTTCATTTCCTCCAGAGGGTGGTCCAGGATACCAGGGGTATCAATAGCCTGGAATCGCAGGTACTTGTAGTCGAAATGACCGACAAACAAACTCTTCGTGGTGAACGCATAAGGCTGGACATCGACATCGGCACGGGTGATGCTGCGCAAGAAGCTGGACTTTCCGACATTGGGGTATCCGCAGATCAGGAGAGTACGGGTGTTGGGATCGATGGAAGGGAGACGGCCCAAGTGCTGCCGAACCTGCTCCAGGTAGACAAGGGGATCCTTCAGACGTCTGCAGATGGTGGCCATACGACCCAAGGCGGCGCGCTTGAGCTGCTTGCACTGAAACAGAGACTGAGCATATTTGATGAGACGGACATAGTCGCGAGACACGGTTTCGATGAGATGCTTGGCGGTCGACACCTGGCCGAGAGCGATTCTGAAGTGGTCGGCGTCATAAAGGGTGTTCATAAGATCCTTGTCTGAAGGATGTTAGTTATTAGAGCAAATGAAATCGCAAGGCAGAAACGTACGGAAAGGATGGATATCCTGCAATCTGGGGAATCCATCGAGAATTGCCTGGAACTTTTCGCAGAATGTTTCCTGGGTATATTTGACCTTCCGAGTGTAGAAACCTATTATTGCGCAGAGAATTTTCGTTAGTGCCACTGTTCTTCTTTGAGGACATGAAATCGGACGGATATGGTATCCATCCACCGATTCATGCAAAAATCCATGGATTGACCATACCTCTAATACGACTGATCTTGAAACCAGCACGGATCTGTGTAGGGAGCTGTCTCTGTGTGCGACTGAGAACGATATCCAAGAACTCCTGGTTCGTTGGCACAGGTGGGATCTAAGCAAGCGGTGAAAAATCCATCAGTTTGGCTGCTCTGACACGGTCTCTGATAATAAATCCATCAACAAGACGACTTACATCCTTCCAGGTCGTCTTCATGATGGGCACCGGCAAGAGAAATAAAAACTTGAAAAACTCTTGCGATGTTTCCCGGTGGACGAGCTGTTGGAATTGTTGTTGATAGACGGGAGGGAAAAAAATTATCTGCGGGCGGTCGGGCGGGCAGATTTTGGCGGGCGGTGAACAACGCAGATGTGGGGAGGAAAAAGTAGCGAGACTCTCTGTTACAGCGAATAGATAGATAATTGTTAGAGGAAGAGGAAATAAATAATTATTGCATTCTAATCATAATCATGTACATTGACTATCATCATAGGAGTATGGTTACACATAAGATGGCTGAAAACCCAGGCCTCCGTCCCAGATCCATGACAGAACTCCGTTGCTTTTTTCTCGTAAAGCCCACCATCTAAGACCAAAAACCAGTGTGACCCATTAACATGCAAGCTCGTGGGGAGATAAAAAAACAAGTGAATAACAACAAAAGGATGAAAGATGACATCAATCTTGCCGAACGAGGACACGCAATACAGAACTCGAAGTAGGATGAACCATCGGCCATGAACTCATGATTATTCCTGGGTAAATTCCAGCACCTGACCCAGTTAGCATTCACAGTCTGAGGAGGCTATACACCTTCTGATCAATCAAGAATAAACTTACCAGGTCAGTCCATCCGCCGCTGCCAAACTGACACTTGCTGGGACCACGGTTTTCAAACCCAAAAGACTCGTAAAAAGGCACCAGATGGTCATGCGCAATGATGGAGATGCGCTCAGCGATCGCGGCTTCCCTGATCCGCTGGATATATGACTTCATCAGAGTGCTTCCGACTTGCTTGCCCTGGTGTTCCGGAAGTACAGCGAGGGAATGGATGGCGATGGTGCTACCATACTCGTCGTGTCCGATGGTCTCTCCGTTCTCCGTAACGACGCGAGCACTCTTCCAGTTGGCCGGGAGCTTCATGGCATTGTCTGTGACAAGTTGTGTTGAGGCCCGCGTGGCAATGATATGACCGATCAAAGTCGGACGCGGCTTGGGTTGGCCCTTTGGTACAATGGGAATGGTGAATAGGCCTAGACATAATTCAGGGCATTTTGTGAGGCGGTAGATGAACTGGCAGAGAAACAGAAAATGGTCAGGACATTCCGATGAATTAACTGACAAGAAAACACACCTTCTCTCGAGAGCAGCGCTCGTTTTCTGGAAATGCGTTTTCAACCTCGACACAATCGTCGACATTGGACACCGTCAGAATTTGGACAAAAGGATGCAGTTCATCCAATTTGGTGCGATGATGCACAGGCGGGCGCCGAAGCCAATATGAGAAATCACTAATCTCATCAGGGTCGACTGCGACATAGTCTTCGTCCACCTCCTCGTGGTCTTCGTCGGCAGTCTCCAAGGGAAGACCATTCGCCATGGCAGCCTCGGCCCGTGGAGACAAATCGCTGGCTGTCGCAGGGAGGGAATAGTCTTCTGCGTTGGACAAGGGCTTGAAACCGGTCATGGTTTCGGTCTGATGGGTGGGTTCGGCCATGGCCAAGAGGAATTCAATTCTCTTGTTCCGTTGGAGATATCCGATATCTCCCAAAATATCTCCAAACTAAACTCACGACAAGGAAAAGTTGCAAGGAGACTGAGACTCAAATCTATCACTGGCGCACAGATACCTAGGTGGTAATGGCGATGGCGGAGAATGACGGGGGAGGGCTGAAAATTAGAGGGGTTTCTGGCTCGGCGGGAAAGCCTAGAAAAAGCGAGTGAGTGGACTGTGGAGCAGCTTAATGCGGGTGATATGATAGCATTAGATCGGGAGGATTATAGAGTGGAATGGATTGAATTAGACTCGTTACACAGTGTTGATTTGAAGATTGATGGCATTCTAACTATGTGATTACTCGATCTATGATTCTTCGGTTGCATATTGACCAGGATAGGGATAGGGGACCTGCATCATGCAACTCGAGAAGATATCTGATTGATTGTCCTATCTCATAATCTGCAGCTGATTATACCGTTGCCACCAGGGGAAAACTCTGTAGTAGTACCTCTCAAGTACTAGTCTAAGTAGATAGTGGCACGTCTATCAAGCATTCTTCAGGACAGAATTTTCAGCATTTCTTCAGACATCCCAAGTAACGTGACTGTCAACCGTTGTTCCAAGTACCTTCTACTGTGTCACTCATTTCATCCATCATTAAGCTACCCAGCAGTGATGCTAGCCTCGACCAGTGGAAACGCCGAGGAAACTATCGGATCGGATTTACTCTACATACACAACTACTATCTAGTACCTCTCTATCGAAGTATACATACTGTACTGTATGTAACTCGGTAATAGTGTCGGCCATACGAGCAGTCGATACTATGAGCGATTATCCACCATTCGAACTGGACATCTCATCAATGAGTAATGAGGACGAGGGAATTTCTCTCAAATCTGAAAGCAGCTTATAATGATGGGAAATCCTATTAACAGGCAGTTTCTGCGCATAGAAAGAGAGAATAATTATGAATGTAACGGCCGACCGACAGCGGAGTGCGTCATACTCCGGAGTAAAGAAAACTAAATCCCGCATCGACTCATACTCTCAATATTTTCTTTGGGCTCCCTCGGCTTGTTAGGTAGCTTCTAAGCCTGTCGCCCTTTTTCTGGTTTCTGGGTCGACCGCTACATATAACTCATTTTTCATTCCTCTTTATCATCCTCAGTTCCTTTTCTTCCATGCATCCCTTTCTGGTCTTGTTCTCGTGGGTCTTTGACAGGAACGAAACATGAGCCCTCACACCGGTTGGCCGCCGCGGACGGTCAATTCATCTTTCCTCAAGGTACCAAATTATACAACAACCAGATAATTCAAGCGTCTCTGACCGCATCTATAATGTCCAGAAGCATCGCTCTTCGCTTTGCGCCTGCCAGCATACATCATCTTTCTTGCCTCGATCCTTTTCCACTACTGCTGATCGGCATGTCCAGCAGAGCGCCGACTTTTCTTCCAGCAGTCGGAGTTATGACCGGTTAGGCCGACGAGCAAAGGAGAAGCTGCTCGACCGGGTACAGTCATACTGCAGTGCGTGGTCATAAGCTCAATTGGCTAACGGGACCATTTTTCTCGCTATGCAGGAATTCTTTCTGAGCTTGTTGAGCTCCGCATCCACCAAGCGAGAAGCCAAATCCTATCTGGCTCGGCTGAAGGCTCAACACCCAAAGTCATCCGATCCGAATAAGCCCGAACCAGAGAAACTAGCTACAACACCTACCTTACCCTCTGGTGTCAATCTGGGGTCTTTCTACGGAGCCTCCAGATCCGTCTACGAGAGTCCCGTCTTCCGACAGGGTCCCAGCCCTACCGCTCCACCTTCGCTGGAGCCAGTCGAACGACTGCATTTGGCCTTGGTCCGATTGTCTACCCCGCAATCGCTTGATGACAACATTATCGACGGCGTTGCGAAGACTCTGTCTCAATTGAATCGGCTGGGCTTGACCTGCTGTGTCGTGGTTGATCCGGGGACGGAGGAAGTCGCAAGTACTCTGCGGCAATGCGCTATCGAGCAGGCCGATCGCTTGGCAATCGCAATTCAAAAGCAGCCCGACTCGAAATCACTTCGGCTTGACTCGGTCTTTTCCATTGACCCTTCCGGCTCTGGTTTCCCGCAAGTTTTCTCTCGAAAGGCACTGCTGAATCCGCTACGCCATGGCCACACCGTCATTCTGACCCCCATTGCATACACCGAAGACGTTCCAAGGGCGGTCATAGTACCAGCAAACGATGCTGTGCTCGCGTTGACGAAAGAGCTCGCTGGTCTAGCAAGCACCCCGGACCCTGATGAGGATCCTATGGTCACTGCGGAAAGAATCGGCCGCCTCCAGAAAGAGGTATCCTTGGACAGGGTGATCCTATTAGACTCACTAGGTGGAATCCCGGCGTTCAATCGGCGACAGACATCCCATGTCTTCATAAACATGGAGCAAGAATACGACGATATCGAAAACGAATTGTTACAAGCGCGAGAGATCGTGCCTGCCGCAGAGACAAGCCTGTTGAAGGCGGGCCCCGGTTCAATCGCAGACAGCAATCCAGTTTCAAAATTTGTCAACTCAGAGGTCATGCCGGTGCCCTCTGGCCCGACACAGGACCTGAAGTTCGCGAAACCCCACAGGAGTGCAATTGAAGGCCATCTGGAAAATCTGCGTGTCGCCCAGAAAGCGCTCGCTATGCTACCCTCGGCCTCATCGGGAATCATCACGTCGCCATTCGAGGTCGCGAGCTCGGCCCAGACATCACCTACCTCTGAGTTTTCCGCCGTGGGCACTCGACGGCAGAGAAACCCCCTAATCCACAATCTACTGACAGATAAGCCCTTGCTATCATCGTCACTGCCGATGAGTCGGCGTGGACCGACGAACAATGGGCAAGGCACCGTTTATCCCGTCACCTCTCATACTACGTTTGTCAAACGCGGTATGCCGCTGACTATGCTGCCCAATCCGTGGGCAGAGCCGTGGACGCCTCAAAGTCGGCCGCGGCTGAAGTTGGACGATCCTAGTATCGACTTGCCTCGCTTGGTTCATCTCATTGAGGACTCCTTTGACCGGAAACTCGACGTCCAAGACTACTTGAACCGTGTCAACGACCGCCTTGCCGGGTTGATCATCGCCGGTGAGTACGAGGGCGGCGCCATTCTAACCTGGGAACTTCCTCCTGGCGTGAAGGACGATGGCAGTGAGGCCAGTAATGCTCGAATGGTCCCCTACTTGGACAAGTTCGCCGTGCTCAAGCGCAGTCAAGGGGCAGGCGGCGTGGCAGACATTGTCTTCAACGCCATGGTGCGCTCGTGCTTTCCCAACGGAGTATGCTGGCGCAGCCGCAAGAACAATCCGGTGAACAAATGGTATTTTGAACGGTCTCTGGGCACTTGGAAGCTGTCCGACACCAATTGGACCATGTTTTGGACCACCCCTGGCCTGGTGGAAGATTCGCAGAAGTTTCGGGATTACGAAGCTGTATGCCGCAGCATTCAGCCAAGCTGGGCCGACGACACCGGCGTGGTTGATTGATTGGGCTCTGCTTTCCATTTTCTTGCATATATTCATTACCATTATATATATCCTTCATAGAGTACATAGAGGTGCGAGGAATTGAATCGTTGATAGACCGGCAATGCTCTGAACAGAAACTCACCGCCTTCGGGATTGCGATGGCAGCGGATGGCTTGTCTCCATCCATCACCGCAGCAGCGCAACCTGCTCCCTGATCTCTTCTTCTCTCGACAAACCATGGATCAATTTATAATCATGAATCAATGACACGATGCCCATCTGCATCGAATGCTCTTACCCCGTCTCGCACCTGTATAGCACTTACAGCCGCGCTGATGACCGCTCTCTGGGCAAGGGCGTGCGTCTGACGCAATGTCCGCGCTGCAAGCGCTTCGCGGACAAATATGTGGAACATGATTTTGTGGTGCTTTTTATAGATCTAGTTCTGATCAAACCTCAGGTATTGTGTTTGGTTCTACTTTTGCTGGTGTAACCGATGACTGAGTGGCCAGGTCTACCGACACCTGCTCTTCAACCGACTAGGGGGTAACAATGATCAATTCGATGTACGGACCGGCCTTTTCTAATTCTTGGATAACCGCTGATTCGTCTCGTTTATAGCGCTCAATTATCCGTCTGGGAATTCTTCTCCTTCTGTTCGATGTATACCTAACCTGGGCGCGGATCGAGAGGTCCCCCACCCTCGCAGCCTCCTGGCTTGCCCGCACACCGATCATCGTGCAATACCTCTTCTTTCTAAGCTTGAACGCCGTCGCAACTCTTGCGCATCATCTCACAGTTAGGCTGCTTGCCTCTCTGCTCTCACCGACACCATATGGCGGCAGCAGCACCAACACAAGCGGGGCCGAGGGACCTGTCCTTTCGAATCCCTCCACCCCCGTCTTCCCCTCGTTCTCGTCCCAGTCCCAGTCGGTTACACCGTCGGGGCAACAGTCACCCTCCGCTGGGATGGCAATGAGCCCGACGAGACTCACGCCTCACGGTTCCTCCCAGGACGTCTCACTCTCGGCCAGTGCTGCTGCCCTGGGCACATCAGCGTCCACCACCAATCTCGGTACCGACCAACACCACCACAACCCCGCGTCTACACCGCAGGGATCGTTACCCTTCCCCCCGCCGCCTCTGCGCCGTGCGTCCACCGCGCCGGCGCAGAGCATCCGGCCTTTGCCACCGCCGTCCCCGGCCAGCCCAACAGCCATCAGCACCGCCCTGCTCGTCAGCAGCTGCGCGAAACTCTTTCCTATCCTTCTCGTCATCTGGGGTCCCGACGGCAGCGGCAGCTCATCTGTACCTATCAAACAGGACAACACAAGTGCCGGCGGGATGACGCATTCCACCCTGACGCAGCGGATGTTGAGCAGGTACACCCCGACCGCGAGCGCCGACGCTCCCAGCGCGACGGGATTCGTGTCCTCAGTGTCGTCGTCCCTGCTCGACAAGTTGGTCTCCAGCCTGGCGTGGTTGATCCCGGCGTCGGTGCCAACGAGCTACCTGACAAATTGTGCCGAGTTGGTCGGCTCGCTCTTTTCCCTTGGGGCAGCGGATACGCATCTGGGGCTGTTGAGTAATATCGAGGCGCTGTATATCCTGCTCGGATGCGGGTATCTGCGCGCGGTGGCCTTGGCGGTGGCCGGCCTGCTTGCGCGGTGGATGGTGCAGAGGGTGATCCTGGGTGCGGTGGGCATCGGCTGACGCAGTCTCTACCATTTAAACCCCATAATGTCTTAATGTTCGACACAATCTGAATTAATCTCTAGAAAACAGCGCTAAAGCAACCAGCCTTGTAACCAGTCGGGTAATTTGTGCCCGCATATAAAAACATAGGCCACTATACAGTCACTTCCACGGTAACCATCCACCCAAATCACTCAATCAACCCCCACCCACAACCAACGTGTAAACGTCAAACTCAATGCGGTACGCGATCAGGCCGAATATCCGACCTCTTCGGCACAATAAGCGGATGCCACTGTGCAAGGAACGTAATAGCTAACAGCATATCATCAGCCCTCTGCCCCAAACCCACAGGGGACGGAATACATACCCCACATCAAATAACACGACGCAAGCGATAGGATCAATGTGCTTCGCCACAATCTGTCATATCATCAGTATCAGTATCAGCCTGTGCACTGGATGCAAACGGAACGCAATGCAGCGTAAGGGAAAGAAAGAAAGGAAGCTCACGTCTGGTTCTCCCCCTTAGGACTAAAGATCCATGCTGCTAGGGCTGCCAGGACGACGATGACGAGACCGATGATGAGACTCCAGCTGTGTGTGCATGCTTGTTAGTGTTTTGTTTCGTTTGAGGAGGCGAGGAGGGGAAGAGGGTGGGTGACGGACCCGTTTGCCATGGTTCCGGTGGTGGTGGTGACTTCAATAATGTTCTGATCGAGGGGTTCAGGTGATGCGTTGATAGACTGCGGGTGTACAGGGCCAGCCTGGTACGTTGAAGATCGAATCGAGTTCGTATGGGATGGAGTTGGAGAGGCTGGGTCTGTCGGAGATGAGACAGCGGAGCTGGAGATGAGCTAGAGGTAGAGGTCGCAGTATCCTGTTGGCGACGTGCGTATGGGTCTTGAGGTTCGGTAGGCAAGACAAGCTTGATTCCAGCAGGGTCATGCGCGATTGGTTCAGGCACAGCTGTGGGCGCAACGTGTTGGTAGAGGCAAGACTTAGATTGCTTCTCTTCTTTGGAAGGTTGGCGGAGCTCTGAGGTTCTCCATACTCCGTGCTTCGTTGATGCCTTTGTGGCCTGACATCCAAGGCAGGAAATGCGGCCCGTCTTGGCACCGCAGAGCACATCTGTGGCGGTGCAGTGATGCTCATGTCTACGAAAGAGATAGATATACAGTTACGATTGTAAGTAAGATAGACGCAATAACGATGATCAGCAGTCTACATTTGCGGAAAGGATATATGGATATAAGTCTGTCGCAGAAACAGTAGCGTTATCACAATGTGGCTGACGAGAAGGAGACAAAAACTATAAGGAGAGAACAACACGACCAGGCGCAGTCTAAGCACCCTCACGGCTCTTACGGTAGCTAGCCTGAGATCAAATTAGAAGGAGTTTGGACGAGAAAAGCAATCTGTGATGACATACCTCTTGCTCGACCTGCAATCCATCCACTACAGGAGCCAGCTCACTGAGAATCTCGTAGGCTCTCTTGTGGAATTCGAGTTGCGCAGCAATTAAGTCTGCCAAGTTGCGCAGAGGCTCGGGGGTGTCGAGAACCTAGACCATGTCAGTGCGAGTGTACCGTTAAACAGATGAGGGATGAAACATACATTCTTCATCACGCTCACGGCTTCCTCAGTCTGGCCGACAAATTCATCCTCCGCCTGCTCAATCTCCGCGCGCGCCTCCTCGCTCAGGTTGTCCAGATCACCGCCGGCAGCAGCCTTCCTCCTGGCCTTGATCGAATCGAGCATGAGCCGGGCATTCTCCACGTTCTTGCGCGCCTTGGCCGCAAACATCAGGTTGGTGTTCAGGGTAGTGTTCCAGCCAGCCAGGAAGCGCGACTGGATCTGAGCGTCCTGCGCCAGACGGGCCTCGCCCACCTTCTCCGAAGCGAGCGCGTACTTCTCGAGCGCGGTCGCCAGCGGGTCCTCGCCGGGATGGACCTGTGCCAGGGTCTGGGATCCAGCCAGAGAGGCGCGCGCGATGGCATGGTTAAAGGTCTTGGGCTGGGGTTTGGCCGATGGAGGGGCGACCAGGGCCGCCTGGGCCTCGGCGGGGGACGAGGCCTGCGACAGGAGCTGGACCTTTTCGCTGATGGTGCGGCCTAGATCATTGAAGGACTCGCGGATGTTGGGAGGGTAGTCGTAGGCCTCGTTGGAGTACTGGGAGCTGTACAGAAGGAAAGGTTATTCATCATGTGTAGAGTCAACGGGGGGGCCGGTCTTGACACCTACGTCACCTGGAGCAGCTTCTGGTGGACCAGCTTCAGCGCATCAACGCGCTTCTCGAGCTCGATGTATTCATCAGGGAGCTGGGTCTTGTCTTCAGCCTGACCCAACTGCTCCTTGATCAACTGCTGCGTGCGCGCAGCAAAGGGGGTGAAGCTCGCGCTGTGGAAAAAAAAATTGACACAGTCATGTTAGCACCGCATGCTGTAGGCAGATATGCAGAATAGCCCCATGGCAGGAGCTTTCGAATCATCTCATCTTACCTGAGGTTCTTTCCGAAGGCTTGGAATTTGTCCATGGTGGCAGATTAATTCGTGGACCGATGAATACAACTGATGCAAGCACAGCCTCGAGTACTGGCAGATTGAGGAATAGAATCAACTTCTTTGTAGCAAATTGGTTTGTTTGGGGATGACCGTGCGGGATGTCTGACATCGCCCGTGCTACTCGACACCGCCTCCATTCGCTCGCACCGCCACTATTTTCATCCTTCTGAGCAATAATCCCTCCATACCTAAGGTACTCTACGTCGCTACAAGGGTACTGAACCTCCATCTAGAGGCTGCTATGTCTGAATTTCATTGATTATGAATATAGGGAATTCCTGATTACCACTCTGGTTTATCTATTGCTGTTAATTGCCAACATGTCCATATATATAATCATGATAATGCAAACATATTTATTGCACGAGGTTGCACATATGCAACATCAAACGCAGGGGGTCATATACTGAATCAGCAAATTTATCATATATCAATAAGAGATAAACATCGTCAACCGCATCGCCAGCATTACCGAAAAATAAACATATTGCTCCAAGGAAAAGGACTACATCCATAATGATACAGGAACGAACATGCAAGAGACCCGAAAATGAAGAAACAAGCCGTTAGTCGTGATGAAGTCGGATGAAGTCGCATAAAGTCATCCTTCAGGTTAGGGTTGCCATCATTGCGCGAAGAATTCGGGGGTTGGGGCCTATACAAAGTCTCAGAAATCTTGACAGCAATGCTTGGCAGGAACAGGGCCAACATACCTCTGCGGTCTTTCCTTACTTCGGTAATCTCCTCGACCTCACCACTGGGAAGCGCGAGCTGGGTGTCACGGATCATTTCGTCTCGTTCGCTGATCTCCAACCGTCTGAGCTCGCGGAGATCCTCATCGCTGTCTCGAGGACGCACGACGATGGCAAGAGGACCGGTACCGCTTCTGTCAAAATCGACGTGATCATCGTATCGCTCCACCATCCGTACTGGAGAGGAGAGTCCGCGACGGCGCCCATGGACTGATATTGATCGTGTACGGGAGACAGCCCTCGTCACTCGCTTCTCACTGAGCTCGTAATGGCGCGATGGAGATCGGTGGCGGGAGGGCGATCTTTCGATGATCAATGTGTCCTGGGTGGCTCGGGGAGAGTAGGCCTCCATTGTGACTCGCTCGACAGTTCTCTCTCTTGGCCGCGCACGAATCGGCGATGGTGACCGGCGAGCATATATGGTCCGAGCTGGGACAAGAGTCAGCGAACATTACTTCACAATGGAGCACGTGGCTACTGACTTTCTGTCTGGCGCCTGATCTCCCGACTCAGGCTGATGACTTCGTCAATCTGCTCTTTCGAAAGAGCCAACTGGATCGTGATTCGGTCATCCTACAAAGCGTTAGCACCGACAAATCCCTCCTCGTGCGATTTATATGTCACCCACGTACCTCTTCCTCATACGGATATCCCAACTTCTTGATGGCAAGTGTGTGCACCAGTCTTCGTGGCATACGGGTCTTGCCCTTGCGGGGATACGGCTTCTCGTATCCAACCTCTTCAACTACTTCCTCGCGAACGCGACCGCTCGACCGGCGCGGATGAGACGCGTACCGATCTCGCTCCTGGAGGATTCGGAACTCCTCGTCGCCGTAGTAATCTGGCTCCGCAATGCGAATGTCTTCGTAATACTCAGTCTCTCTGTGTTTGCGGGATGGACGTCTCCGGGGAATAGAAGGCGCACGCGGCTCGCGAGGCAGATGCCCGCGGATGTAGTATTCATCTAGCTTGCGCGAGGGGATGCGGTCAAACGTATCCAAGGAAGACTGGCGACGCAGCAGGCGAGGGCGCGGGGGAGGGCTGTCACCGCGCGACCGCTCGTAGGTAACAAGTGGACCCGAGTTATGGAGCAGATGGTCGTCCTCGTAAAATCTGTCCGACCGGCGGGCAGGAGGACCGTATCTGTCAAGCTCATGTAGGCGGGATTCGAAGCGCTCTTCTTCAGACCGACGGGGACGGTCGATGACAGGAGGCCGAGAATAACGGCGCTCTCCAGTGCGCTCCATCCTCTCGGAGGAGGAGCGGTAGTCGTCGTACCGCGACATGATTACCGTAGATTAGCTTCGACCTTGTGACCAGACAACGGATCGAAATGTCGAGGATTGATGATGGTCAACAGATCTCTGTATATGACCTGAGAGTGAACCGTGGGTGACGACAGCGGCTGACTCGGACGGCCCGCTGACCGCGGGGTAGGAAGAACCGTGGATAAGGGGGGGAATTTCAATCACAGCAAAGACCAAGAGGATGAAGAGATGGAGATGAAGTTGGTGTCAAGGACAATGAATATGGAAGAAGAAGCCAGATATGAAAGAAAGTTTTCGAGAGAACAAAGGAGGCCTCGAGTGATCTTCAGTAGAGAACTACCTTCTACCTTAGAGATGGGCCAAAGCTGATAAGACAAAAATAATAATGAGTGGATGACGTCTAGTGTGGAGATACAAGGCGTTACCGTAATATTCCGGCGTTCCCATGCAAATTGCCTGGTGCCTTAGGAGGGCCACTGTCTCAATTCAATACCTTAGGTAAGGTAGCTCCAAACGTCTATCATCGTAGATCTATTTCTAGGCATCACTCAGGTCCATTCTTTCTTTCGCCACGATTGCTACGCCTCCCTTCAGCTCCTTTCTGGTATTGCGAACATTCTCATTTCCTCTAGAAATCCATAGCCTATAGCCTGACCTAATCCCCTTGCCCCGGTTGCGAAAAGGAGAAATCTCGTCGGTTATCTATCCCCCCTGCAGAAGCTCCACTTGTTACCTGGGAGCCTCGCTGCCCAATCCATACCAGCCACATGACTTCTTTCCTGACACAGTCGAATTGTGTTCATCATTCCTTATGACCTGGGACCATGAAGCGCGAGCGAATCCATTACAATGCTTGAGGGACAGGGGCATCAGGAAAGTTTCTCGAATACACTAGCACTGACGTGAAAGATATCTACTGCTGTTGGGCGATCTGAGCGGAAGCATAACAGGAAATTGAATTCGGCCAAGTGGCTCCAAGCAGCAGCAGGCAGGTTTTTTCTGCAATCGGTACGAGTGTATAGCTCTTTTCCTGCAAGGGGACTGGCTGCCTGATGTCCGCTATGTGTTGGGCCAAACGCATATCCATGTGTACCTGCATTGATTACCCACGGTAATGGTTTCGTTGTCATGCATGTATTATTCCATGCTGCAGACTCGAGGCAACGAATCATTGCCCGTGCCACGGGACAAAATTCAAATTGCCCACTTGCCATTGTTCTGCAGGTCGGGATCGCCCCGATGAGGCATTGTGAAACCGCTTCATGAACACGACTTCATTATGTGGCAACAGTCAATCTTCCTAGGTTCTCTACTGGCGCCGTGAAGAGTCCAGCGACGACGATATGTCGTCCAAATGGTCTTGCATTTCTGAAGCTTGAGTTCATGATCTCAAAGTGTCAAGTGCCTGAGGCATCTGTCGCGCAAATGCGACAATATTACCTAAAGAGATTGGGGAAGCAGCGACCTGGTAATCTTATCACGGCTCAGCTTAGCCGAAATTATACCATACAGTGCTGTGATGTCGAACGCATGTTTCTGTTTAAGAGAAGCCTGTAAGATCCAGACTCGAGTCACGCTCAACTGTTCCGCGAGCGTCGACGCTGGAGCTAGAAAGCACGTAGCCTTCCTGGGTATACGCTTGACGTAAAGAATTAGTGGCACTGAAGAATATCTGTTATCTCCGGTCGTCTGTTTCCAAGTTCAGAACATCGTCTTCCAGGCTCAGGAGCCCCATTGCCCAGTGAACATGCATCGATTTACTAATAGTAACGAGTCTCCGCTCTGTGTTGACATCTGCATGGTGTTCTTCATCAATGGCTTCCTCGGGTGAAGGGTCCGCCTCGGGTCGTTGGCGGAGATTCTCTTGTGTACGCTCATACGGAGGGCCGCGCCCCTGCCTTGCGGTGACGGTCCATGCATTTTCGCAGCCAAGGGCTATAGCCTCAGACGATTTCCAGCCGGTCAAGCGTGAGACATCGCGTAGCTTCGAAATAGTCCAGCCGCGCTGGGCAGCGTCAACGAACTGAACGGCTGCAAAGAAGATAGGCACAGTCATCTCAATCAAGCAGGCCCCCAAGGTAGGGCTCAATTTCCCCGCCTCCACGTTGAACCACTGGGGGAAATATATACCAGCGGCCATCTTTCCGACAATCTGAGCGTATTCAGCCGTTGTAGGCGCTGCCACTCCTGCAGCGACCATCATAGCGGGTGGCATTGATGGATGCAGTCTGTGTAATAGAATTCGACCTGCATAGTAAAATCCCCACACCACCGCAACCGTATGCGTGCGGTACTGCAGCGCTGGGCCGAATGGGGTCGATATAGGAGGGATAGTGTCAGCTGGCAGAGGAAGGAAATCAGGACCGAGGGCACCGGCAAAAGTATCAAATGCAGCCCGAATATCTTCCCATTCGCTCTCAGCATCTTCATATGACATGGCATCTCCATCTTCATCCTGACCGGGCGACGGACTTCGATGTGCCGTGCTAGCAAACGCCGAAGGGAGGCGTGTCGGTCCTCTCGGTGGGACCATGCCATACATGGGAGGTGAATTTCCTCTCCCTGCACTGGGACCACCCACGGGCGACTGGCGGTTAGGTTCAGGCCCACGGTTCTGTACAGATCCCGGAGGAGGCCCTCTTGGTACGTTCGCACCGCCCTTGGCAAAGCGAGCCATGAATTTGTGAAGACCAGGACCTGGTCTCCAGTCTTGGCCAGTGGCTTTAGCTACATGCAACTTTCGTTTTCTGTCACGGTAACCGAAATCAGTGAGCCGGGCGAGCAGTAGCCATAGATGGTCCGCTGAGCCATAGACAGCATCCAATCGACCAATACCGGCGCGCGGTGGGCACTGGCCCCAACGGGAAAAAGGTAGTCTAGCCGACGATGAGTATGTTAGAAAGCCAAATGATCAAAAGACGGGAGTCACTAACATAAGTCCGCCGCCCCCGATGAAAGCCTGGATCATGTCTTGTTTGCAGTACCACCAATAGAGATCACATTGGATTCTGTAGGTCTCAATGTCTTTCCGGGTGAAATGTCTTTCGCGCGAGCGAATACGCCCATCATCTATCTGGCCAAACTGATCATAATTGACCGCTCGACCTAGAAGAGATCCTATGAAGTTCTCATCAATGCTGCTCTCTTTCTCAGCGAACGGGTCATCCTCCAAAAACCCTTCGTCGAACGCATAGTAAGCCGCATAAGCCGATTGGGCTTCCAACATTCGCTGCCGTTGAGCCCACACCCTCCGCCGATGAGATCGAATATCACGGGTGAGAGTGGCAAAGTCAATCTCACGTACCAACTGGGCCGATCCTGCGACATGGCTGTTCCACTTCGAATGCTCGGCGGTCATCACTTCGTAATATGCCAACAGGAGTGTGGCAGCCAGAGTGCCAACCTGTTTGCGCCTTTGGGGCAGACCCACTGCATAACCGACTCTTTTGAGCGCATAGTGATAGTGCTTCAACGAAACAGTCGGGGGCGCTTGCTGCAGATACGAGATATGTAAGCTGCTGAGAGCCAGAATGGCTTGAAGCAATGCTTGGTGCTCTAATGCCTTGAGAGGCATTGTATGTGTCCATAGGCCTTGCTGAGCTGCTGGCACAGGTGAGCCAAGCGTGTGTGCGGAATCTGCAGGATGTCGCTCGAAGATTGATAAAGATGGACCGGTTGAATGGATAAAGTGAACGAATATTCGAGCTGTTTTGGGGTTATTCAAGGGAGATGAGCCAAGCGTAGGGCGATAAGAAGCAAGCATGTTGGGTTCGTTCAGGTAGGTGGTGAAAGACCGCAGCTGCCGTTCATCTTGATTTGCAGAGGCCACAATGAGGCTGAGTTGGTTGAAGTCTTCGGCCGATGTTTGCAGCTCCATTTCTTCATCAGATTCAACATCATAGTATTCTTCACTTTCGTCGTCCACGTAGGTGAATTCGTTTGAAGATGTCATCAGCGGGATGGCCATAGATTCATGCACTGCTTGTTGTTCCTGTCGCGTACCGGAAGGGAACGCGGTTGTGGTTGCTGGGTCAGCTTGATACAACTTCTGGTACAATGTTTAGTAGACAGTGACGAGCCCGATTAAGATGTGGTCCCATACCTGAGGAATTTGTGCAGTTACGAATGCTACGGTAGGGTCCATCGACATCCCTTGCGGATTCATGACCGGCACTGGAGGTTCCGGCCACGTTGAAGCCTGCTGAGGCGGAAACCGCTGATCTGCTGCTGAAATGACATTGTAAGTTGGCGCGCCCATTCCATGTCGAGAATGGTCTTGACTTTTTATATCCGGCTGCTGCCGCGGAAAGTCAAACGGCAATGTTGGAGCCCCTACAGATCCGGGTGCGTTGGGAACGGAGGCAAGAGGTGCTTCATACTGCTGCGGTCGAGGTCGCAACGCATCCATATAAGCTTCTTGTACTCCTGCACTACCAGTTGCGGTAAAAGTAGACTGTCCCGTGGCTGCTAGTGGGAACGGCCTCGGTGCCAACAACGGCCTATTGGTGCCAGCCTGTCTCAGCTGAGAGAGCTCCTGATTGTAATATCCAGTTGGAAGCGGGGCTCCCGAGGGCGTTGGCTGCATCGGGGCATTGAGAGCTTGGTTAGTGTTATAAGCTCCGAATATGCCGATGGGATTTTTGAATATGACACGCTGAATATAGCCCTTGCATTCTCGTTTTGATTTGATACAATTGTTGCATATGGGCTTTTCTTCTCCGCACTTAATGCGACGTTGTCGACAAGCTATATTTCAACGGTCAATGACTGTTGTAGCCCTCGCCACCACCATTCACATTTTGAACGTACTAAGACAACCTGTTTTGGTGCGTTTCTTAGGGGCCTTCTGTGCAGACGTGCTCTTCGGTTCAGTTTCAGCCTCTGGTCCTGCAGCCGCAGCTGATATATCTGCGACCCGATTTGTGTCTGAATCATTGGTCAATGGCTCCGGTTGAGGGCCCTCGAAAGCTGTTGTCTCCCCCATAACGCTATACTTTGTGCCGAGGTGAGGCTGTTTCCATAACCGAGAGGCAGCGTGAGTCGATGAGGTCGAGAAACTGATTTAGAGAATGAGAGGGATAGAAGAGAGGAGATACTTCTAATATGAGTCCCTGGGGGCCCAACAGTTTGCATGAGTGGGGAGATGCAGTTCCACTAACTAGAGGCAGCACCGGAGTGGTAGCACAAATGATACAGCCCTCGATTGGCCTGAAACCGTCGGCCAGATTTTCCAGGCTTCCCCACTGGAATTTATTTACTGTCTAGTCTCTTTCGTTCCGCGGCTCGCCGCAGTTTTAACGTTCTTGAGGCGTGGACAGTTCAAATAACGATAATCATGCTTTCTTTTCAGCAAGGCATGTCATAAGGCTCAAAAATTTGCCAAAAATATGCGATTGACTTGAGGTGGTGCCTATTGATCAAATTGAAATCGGTGGTCACACTCACTGCCTTGTTACGCCTCAGGCTAGTCATCCAGTCTGCAGATATGGTCACTGCTGGCAAGGGTGTTCGATCGCTTTACTTGGCACTCATCCGCCTGGAACTGAGATATATTGCATCTTCTAGTTGGGTTCTGGCGTAAAGATCATGAGCAAGGGAGTTGAGCACACTTGGTTGCACGAATACGAATCTTTCGTAAGCCCAGAATAAGATAAGACCGAGGCTCGGACTCACGGATTCTCTGTGACATAGGAAGTAGTCACTAATCCCAAGTCTCTTCCCTGTTATGATGAATAAAAAAGAAACGGAGGAATGAGGCGATCTACTCCGTAGACTGCTCTCGACCAAGAACAAGCTTAAAAATAGCTTGATTCTGAGACTCTTGCTGTCTGCTGATCAGGACTGGGGCGCGGATTACTCAAAGCTGACCGCCTTTAGCCTACACCAGCAGAAATACCAGTTGTTTCTCACCGCCAACGATATTTTTTCCTTTTTGTGTAGAGGTAGAGTCTGGACGCTAGCCTTGAAAAACAGCGCTGGCAGAAGAAATTGCTCAGCTTGCTCTTGCATACGATTCTGTGTCGGCACAGAATCAATAATTCTAGATTTATCCACAGATATCTTACTTGCGCTGATATCGTGAACCGGCTCACGCAATCATGTTTGCCGTCCCAGGATGGTCCGTTCCGAGCTCTGCTCTGAAGCAGCAGGAGCCTGCATCGCAATCTCAAAACCAGTCTCAACAGGCCAATGGATCGCCGAAAGCAGGTGCTAAATCCAACAAGCGCAAGCGCGGCAATGACCATGTTACCAAAGCAAATGTTGACGAAATGTACCGTCGACATATCGAAGGTCACAAGGGCACCCCGAAATCCCAGAAGCAGGGTCCAAACAATGCTGTGCAGCCTAGCAAGAAACAAAAAAAGGAGCATAAGCCAGGCAATGAAGGATCTTCTACGTCAGGAAAGCAGAAAAATCAGATGAGGAAAGACGACCACAAGGACAAAGAGGATGCATCGAACGGTGCTCAGGATGTCGGGAATAAGGCAGAAAAGAAGGAAAAGAAGCAGAAGAATAAGAACAAGAATCACACCAAGGAACAACAGCAAGAGCCCCAAGAACAGAAGCAAGCCGCTTCTTCTGCCGGCGAACCCGTTATCCCTCCTGCTCCGCCAAAAACAGAAGCGATTCTTACACCCCTTCAGCAGGCTATGCGGCAGAAGTTGATATCATCCCGTTTCCGTCATCTGAACGAGACGCTGTATACAACACCCTCTTCTAAGGCCCTTGAACTGTTCACCTCCAACCCCGAGCTCTTCGATGAATACCACGCGGGATTCTCTCGCCAGGTCAAAGAGTCGTGGCCTTCCAACCCTGTCGATGGCTACATTGCGGCTATCCGCAAGAGAGGAGGCGTGTCGTCAGGTTCCAAGAAGGGCAACAAACCTGACCACAAGAAGAACGCACAGGCTCTGCCGCTTCCTCGGAGACCTAACGGCCTCTGCACAATTGCTGATCTGGGCTGCGGTGATGCCCAGCTCGCGCGGGCTTTGACACCCTCAGCACAGAAGTTGAACCTGAAGTTGCTCAATTTTGACTTGCATGCTCCACAAGGCTCACTCATCACCAAAGCAGACATATCTAATTTGCCCATTCCCGACGGATCCGTGGATGTCGCTATTTTCTGTCTTAGCTTGATGGGCACCAACTGGGTGTCTTTCGTGGAAGAAGCGTGGCGGGTTCTCCGCAGCGATGGCAAAGGCGAATGCTGGGTCAGTGAAGTCAAGAGCCGCTTTGGCAAGGTCGTCCGCAAGAAAGCTCAGATTGGTGCACGCAAACCGCTCAGCAAATCCGAGAAGAAAAAGCTCAAGAAGAAGCAAGCGGGTGAGGATGATGCTGGATCCGATGTGGACGACGCGGATATCTATGCAGAGGACGCTCGTAAGGCCGATGATGACGAAACCGATATCTCGGCCTTCATTGAGGTGTTCCGCACCCGTGGCTTCATTCTCAAACCGGAATCGGTTGACAAGTCGAACAAAATGTTCGTGAAGATGGAATTTGTTAAACAAGGTGGTGCCCCGATTAAGGGTAAATATGCCTCGGTCGCTCCAGCAGGAGGACCTGGCAAGAAAAGATTCATTGACAAATCGACTGATGTTGGCGCTGGCATGTCTCCCGAGGAAGAGGCCCGTGTTCTCAAGCCCTGTGTCTATAAAATTCGGTAGGAGCCATGCATATTTACATGTGTATTTAGCCATCAATAGCTGTACATACTACAAATACCATCTAGCTAATCTCCTGCATAGCAATGAAAGCTCATTGTACACACTGCAAATTACGACAAACCGAGTGAGGTTTCGCAGAATGGTTAATTGTCATTGCTTCTCTATCAGATGTCAAACAGACACCGGTCCATGGCGGACGTCGTAAGTCTTCCAGATATATGGTAGCCGGTGTCTCAAGATTCGTCCATTAAATCCTTACTCATTGATTACCGCCCAATTGAGCAACAGCCCGGCCCATCTCCTCGTCATTGTAGATATGAAAGCCCTTCTCTTTAGTAACGCTAGCCAGCTGGACATTCTTCGCATCCAACTTCTCCTCCATGACCTGTTTCAGCGTTTTCAATACCAGTGTCTCGGCCTCGGGCAGTGTCAAGGAACGATGGTATTCATTCTGTAATTCCGCCTGCGCACCTTCGCTTCCGGACCCTATGGCCTTTGCATCATATCTGTAGAATGTCCCGGATGGCTCGGCGTGATACCTGAACCGTAAACTAGATTAGTACAATTCAACGGAAGAACCGGCTAACGGGCGGCTTAGAACACATGACTGTGTGATGCAGCGAGTGTTCAACGTACAGTTGCGGCCCATCCTCATCGTAACCAGCGATTAATAGGGCAACACCAAAAGGCCTGCTCATGACACTTTCATCGTCATCACCAGTCTCACCGAATCGCAGTGCAAGGTCGCAGATCGCTTGGGTCGTGCTCTCTACTCTCAGAGGCTCTGCATAGTGAAAGGCGTGGTTCTGGCATTCAACGCGGGCGTGCTCGACCAAGGACCGGGCATCAGCCTGCAAACCGGACATGGCACATCCGATATGCTGGTCAATTTCGACAATCTTTTCGACGGACGAGGCTTCGAGAAGTGTAGATGTGACACGCTTCTCCACTCCAAGAATGACACCTTCCGAGGTAGCTACCTGAAGGGAAGTTAGGGACAGACCAAACTAATTCTTCCATCTCCACCAGTAAAAGCAAAAGCAATTTCAATTAAGAGAGCCTTTAATGAGGGATAAACGTACACCGATCGCTGTCGATCCCAGTTTGATAGCTTCAAGCGAGTATTCGACCTGGAACAGACGCCCTTCGGGGGAGAAGGTGCTGTGATAATTTGACCGTCAGAACCGGAAATCATGGCAAGGATCTAACAGAGAAGACTTTGGGTCCGTACTTGATTCCACGGTCTATTGGCAGAGCTGGTGTTAGCTGACCGCATCGGAGAGGTGGTGCTAGAGCTTACCATATTCCGATCGCGCGATGAACATCTTGGATTATCTCCGAAGTAGGAAGTAAGAAAAGTGGGTTCAGCACAGCAAGGTTCGATATAGAAGCGGATCAAGAAGAAGGACGAAATTGGGAAGGACGGCAAGTGGTTGGTGAAGTGGGTGGAAAGCTGTGTCTTGGAGCTCGGGTGAAGCTCTCAAACAACTACGCAAGTCGACGGAGGGCCTGGCGAATAGTTGGCCTCAGGCTATAAGGCATACATTTGCGCCTGATACCTTAACTCCGTTGCCTTACCGGATCAGGAAATGTAAACTGCGGTACGGTACATGCTTGGCGGGCAGCAACTGGGTCTGTCCTTGTTTATTATTGCTCTTCTCATTCAACCAACAGTTCAATTGTCTTAGCTTCAATCTGTCCTGATTCCGCCACATGGTTGACACCATATCCTCTGTCTCGCGGGATCATGTCCGTCAATGAGCGTCGCGCCAGTCAAATGGGTGCATCACGGCCCCGCGTAGCATCAAATCGCGTCGACGCCGAGAAAGCTGCTTTGCGCGCTGCGGCGTCCCCATTACAATCGGAAAATATGGATCAACTTCGTGACAGTGCGTCCAGTCAAAAGAGCAGAGCGTCCCGAGACCAACAGAACATCACCACTAGCGAAAAGCGCACCGAAAGGACCACGATCAACACGAGAGAAAAGGTTCAAATGCGCACACGGAATCCAGTTAAAGAGTCGGCAAGCGCGGGAAATAGAGGAGATTGGGAAAAGTTACGAATGAAGAGGGCTAGTCAGACAGATGGTGCGGCTTCTGGTAATGCCCGGAAGAAGGAGAAAGAGCCGGCGGAGCGTTAGTAGAGAGAGATCATTTGCGCGCATTGCGACCAATGCTGACTATGAGACAACAGAATCTTGGACACCGCAAGCCTCGTTGATTCCCCATTCAACCGCACCTTTAGCCAGTCGTGTATCCGTACCTCCTCTTGCCTCTGCACTGCCGCAACCACTTCATCCCACGCCGCTTCGCGAACT